ACTCATTCCCTGCCCACCAGGCCAAGAGCTGCACCAGATATGCAGAACTGGGGCAGCAGGTCCCAGGCTCTGGTGCAGCCTTATGGAACGCAGGGCCAGTTTTGTCTCCAGGCCGGGATTCCATCTCATAATACCATGTGCATCAACATCCACAAAAGACCAACTTTTAGGCAGTGGTCCTCTCCTCCCATTACCTGGAGGTGGGAGGGTATATGCAGTTGGTGCTTTTTGAAATTCCCTTGTTTCTGTAAGCTTTTCCCCTGGTATCATGGAAAGGACCTCTTACTCACCACATTGTGGGTGGCTGTATCCAAAGTCTAAATTGGCAGATAATGTGGAGCAACTTTCCCGAATTCATGTAAGGGAAGGGCTCCTTGACCACAACTGAACTTCTTATGTAAAAAGCTGGCTGGGGAGGAAGGCTCAATTTTACTAGAATCAAATTTGATATTCTCTAACCACAGATTGAGCAGCAAAGGCTATTTTGATTGTAAAGTGAGGGTCCCCATATAGGCCACCATCCAGCACAGCATACTCCCAGGTTTGATGCTTGTTCATTGTGCGTCTTCATGAGTCCCTCTCTGGTGCTGAATTGGGTTTGCATTCTTGGTGAGAGGCTTCAGCATCTCCCTGTGCTGGTCTGGGCCCGTAAATAGCTGCCTGAAGTGTTTATATATTATCACAGTCAATAGTTCAGTGAAATTTTGTACATTTTTTGGTAACATTGGCATACATGATGCCCCTGCAGTTCCTTTTCTGTTTGGTAGTTTGTGCCTCTAAATTCCCACTGTTATGTGTGTTAATTTATGAAAATAAAAAGATTTTGAAACCTTTCAAATAATTCTCAAAGCTGTTATTTTACTCTTATGTCTTGGTATTAATAAGTTAAAATTTTACCTGTAATGTCATGAGGCTGTTTTTTAAAAATAGACATTGCAAAGTAATAATCAAAGCAAGCATTATCCCTTCCAAAGTGGTCACCACGTCCTGAGGACTGTCCTGTATTCAGGACATGTATAGAACTCCACCTTTGGGTAGCCTTCTGAGCTTGCAATGGCGCTTCTTTCTCTTTTCTTTTTTGTGGGTTTTTTGTTGTTGTTAATTCTCACCCAAGGATATTTTTTCCATTGGCTTTTAGAGAGCCTGGAAGAGAGAGAAACATCGATGTGAGAGACACATCGATTGGTTGCCTCCCGCACGCACCCCTACGTAGTGCAGGGATCAAACCTGCAACCCAGATTTGTGCCCTTGGCTGGGAATTGAAGCCACAACTCCGGTGCATGGGCCGATGCTCTAACCAGTGAGCAACACTGGCCAGGGCTTTTCAACTTAGTGGTGGCAGATCATCTCTTATGAGGGAATTTGGTATTTGGAAACAGCCAGATAAAACATATCCAATTAAGTTGGGTAAGATTGCTGAAGAAGTATTTTAGGTGTGATTTTTAAAAAGCATGACTTATATTCTCACATGGCTGGGAAATCTAAAAGCAGGTATAGCCCGGCTCAGCGGTTGGGCGTCGACCTAGGATCCAGGCGATCGGGGTTCAACTCCTGGTCAGGGCACATGCCCGGGTTGTGGGCTCAATCAGTGACTCTCTCATCATTGATGTTTCTCTCTCTCTCTCTCTTCTTTCCTCTCTC